GCTCCGGGCGCGGCGCCTGCACCATGAACTACCAGCAGCAGCTGGCCAACTCGGCTGCCATCCGGGCCGAAATCCAGCGTTTCGAATCGGTCCACCCCAACATCTACTCCATCTATGAGCTGCTGGAGCGCGTGGAGGAGCCGGTACTGCAGAACCAGATCCGGGAGCACGTCATCGCCATAGAAGGTGAGGGCCGGGCCGCCCCGGGGCTAGTAGAGAGCGCTAGGGATCCGGCGACCCCAGCGCGGCGGGGCTGTAGCGCGCGTGTGCATGTGTGTGTACACGCGCGCCGGGCCGAGGCACGCTGCTGCCCCGCCGAATGAGGGAGCACTGCGGGCTTCCTGCCCTGCCAGGCCGGGTGCGCCGCAAGCCTGCCGGGGAAGATGGGACGTCAGCATCAGTTAGGTAATGGACAATAGAGTCTCTCCCCGGAGAAAGTCGCCGGAGTGTCCCGGCCGGCCGACGCCTGAGGGCAGCTGGTTGGGGATGGCGCCATATGACCCTTGACAGGTTACCAGGCCAGGGCCAAGCATCTTGCTGGACACTGAAGATGTGTTTTGAGAGGCGCTGCTGCTGGAGTGCTGCTCTGGCCAGCGTGCTAAGGCGCTGTGGTTCTGCCCCCGAATATATCTGGGCACAGGGTAGCTGCTTCCCTGGGCTCAGGACATGCAGAGAGCCAGCCCAGGCCACAGGCAGCATCTTGCCAGGTGTGCCGTCTCTTGTGCTGCTCACAGGTTGTGTACCCAGAGTCCCAGGTTCAGCTAAAAGAGTCTTAGCAGAGCAGAGCGTCCCCAGCAGAACGGCCTCACTTTGACAGACCTGGTGCTCGCGAGCTACCCAAATGGAGGATGCCATAGGACCACTGTTGGGGCCAGTCAGGCAGAGCACTCCTCTCCTGCTTGCCAGCAGGGCTGCATCCCTGCAGGAGGGCCAAGGTAGCGTTGGCTGCCCTTCCTGGACTTGTGTTCTTGCTGGACGACCAGGGGCTCCCATTTCTTCAGGATTGTTTTTCTTGTTGATTGGGTCCTCCAAGGACTGACCTGGGGGAGCAGGTGGCAGGCACATGGGTAAAGTGGAGGCGTTGCTTTTGAGCAGTGACAGTCAAGGCCTGCAGAGTGGCTGGCCTGTAATAGAGCCCTGCCAGAGGCTGGGAAGACCTCTGCTGAGGAACGCTGGGGTGGGTGAAGGATGCCGGGAGAGTGTCTGTTAGCAGGTGTGGGCATCCGGAACTCCCAACAGGGAGAGAGGGCCTTCCCCACAGGAGGGCTTTGTTTTGACACTGCAGTCTCTGCTCCCAATCCCTACACCTCTTGATTTGAAACTTGCCAGTTAGGTGCAGAAGGTGGATGTTTTGCTGAGACCCTTGGCATTTGGCAGCCTTGTGGACTTGCACGCGTCCTGGCCAGGCTGGCTGACAGGGAGGATCACAGCAGCGCTGCAGCCTGCGGAAGCCTGTCTCTGAGACACCCCCTCCCGCCCCAGTGCACTGGCTGCCCTTGGGCCACTTAGGATGCCTCTTGTGTCATCAGGAGGTTGGGCAGGAGACCTTGGGACCTGCATCTGTCATCTGCTCACCACGCAGTGTTGCAGCCGGGGGCCTGGGTTGATGTTGGCAGTGGTGGAAGGCGTCCTGCTTAGTCTGCCAGCTCTTTGGCTGCATCCATGAAGTCTGATGAAATACTTGGAAAGCTGGTGCCAGGTATGCAGCACACCTGGTCGGGAGCACTTGCTGCAGCCGTGAGGGGAGCGCTGTGGTGGAGAGTGACTCACTGTGCCTCTTTTCTGGTTCCCTTTCCTGCACTTGGGGCTCTGGAGCACTTCCCATGGAGCAGTCTGACTTTCTAGCAGGAGGACGTGGCTGCGTTTATTCATTTTCTTCCTTCCTTCTGCATTTGTGTGGTTCTCAGTTGATTTTTAATCACTTGATCCCTACCTTTTCAGAATGAGACTTAACCACTCCTCCTTGGCTGGAGTCCTTGTTATTTTTAATAAGGTTCAGGGTCAGTGGATGGTTCCTGTGTGGGGCTTTGAAGATGCTGTTACTTTTTCTTAAAAACAGGCATGTCTGTATTGTCCCAGCAGTAGCTAACTTAGAGAGCCCTGAGAAGCGCTCAGATAGGATTCTGTTCTTGGCAGTTATCAACAGTGCACTGAAGTTTATTTGTGTAGAATTTCACTATAGGTCCCGGGGCCTTCATAAGCTCCTTGTGTGGCAGGGGCAGCCCAGTGGAGCAGCGTAGGCCAACTTTGTTATCTTTAGAGAGCAAGGTGTGGTGGTTTGTGGGGGACAGTGCCTTCCTGAACATTTGGTGGAACTTGCTCCAAGCCTGGCCTGGACGTAGGATAATTTGGGGTCCTGGTCTTGGCTTCCCAAGCAGCAATCTTTCAGGACCTCCCCTTCCCTTATTATATTGAAGTTCAGTAGCTATAATGAAATGTTGTCCCTGTTCATGCCGATGTTAAGCCATGACGGATGGAGGCCGATGTCTGCTTCATTGATGCTGTGAGAGCTGGCAGGATGGCTCAGTTATGCCAGGACAACATTTTTGGCTGAGAAGAGAGCTTTGTGGAAACTTGTACAGCTATCTATTTCCTGAAAGAGTCCGGGGGTTGGTGAGGTGTCCATGCCTAGCAGAACCCTAAGTGAGCTTTTACCTGATCACCTGTGAAACCGAACTGGTCTCCATGACTAGAGATGTACATGAAAATCTTCCTAAACTTTAAAATGTCACAATTTCCAATCAGGAAGGCTTGTGCTCTTCATAGCAAATAATTTAAAAAGCACTTATCCCACAAAACAGAAACCTGTTCATTTTAGAGAGTATCAGACTTTTCTCCATCTGTGCTCCCTGTCTGTCTCTCTGTCTGTCTGTCTCTCTGTCTCTCTGTCTCTCTGTCTCTCTCTCTCTCTCTCTCTCTCTCTCTCTCAGGGTCCTGTTTCACAGAGCTGTTTGATTTCCACAGTGTGAGCTGTTTTTAAGGTTATGAAGAATTTCCCAATATACGGTCTCTCTCATCAATAATAGTGCGTCAGCATCTGGCAGAGCTGTGATTTCTTTAAAAGTTCCTGTTTTTTAGCACCTTTGGAGAGGTCTGTGCTGGACGGAGGTGCAGCCTTGTCAGGGTGTTTTGGCGAATGCTCGTTTCAAAGGCAGTTGAAGTGGGTCAGGGTTGGAGAATCTCTTAATGAGCGAATTTAATATCTTTTAGTTGAAAGCGCTCCCCAAGATTCCCACACAAAAATAGGTCAGTAATCTTGGGTGCAGGGATGGAACTCATGTGAGTTCTGCACTCAGTCTGGAGAGTAGCCTGCCTACCCCCAGAAGAAGTGTTCACTTTACTCCAGCGGGCCAGGGGTCAAAAGCGCATAACTCTTAGGAGCATTCTGTGTGTTTTGGATTGGAGCAGCTTAGATTCAGGAGCCGGGAAGCACCTCACTAGGAGCTGTAGTTTGTGTTGGCCAAAGCAGGTGCCACAGGGCCCAACTGAAATGCCCTGCACCGGCGGCAGCCTGAGGAGGTCTCTGGGGAGTGTGGCACTGTGTGGGGGAGGTTGTGGAAGGTGAGGGCGAGGCTGGCGAGGGCGCACACCCACTCATGGTACATACGGGGCGCAGTGCAGTCTGCATCTCAGGCATGGCATTCTCGGGCTCTTCCAGCAAGAGAAGGGACCTGGGTATTGAGGACCTGCTGCTGGTTGCTTTTACATTTGGCTCATCCCATCTCAGGCATCCCGCAGGCACACTGGGAAATGCTGCCTGTAGTGCAGCCACAGGCGAGCAGCCCTGCTGCCGAGCTCTAAGGAACCCGGGACCGGCCGGCCGCCAGTTGCAGCAGCTTGCCCAGGTTTCCTCTCCGGTTCTCCCGCAGAGTCTGTCTGGTGTGGACAGGGTTGAGGCAGATGAGTCAGCCTGCCTTTCTTGTTAAGTAAAGCTTGTTGTTCTTTCAAGGGTAGAGCCTTCATAGTTGTAGTTCAGCTTGCTGGCAGCAGAGCCATGATGCGAGCCATAGGCCAGCCGGCTCCTTCACCCTGGGCAGCCAGGATTCCCAGGTGCCGCTGGGAAATCTGGGCATCATCCATGGTTGGGACCCCAGATGACACTCTGCTTCCGTCCTCCCTAGGGGCTGACCTGCACACACCCACGCTGTCCACTTGCCTGGTGAAAAGCAGCTTTTCACTTGTTTGAGAGCATTTCTAGAAGCAGGTTTGGGAGCTCGTTAATAACATCTGACCCTGCCATTTGAGGGGACCTGGGAAGATGAGGTGGGGTCCACTCATCCCGTGGTACAGTACATTGCTGAGCGCGTGTCCATCAGGGTCCTGAGTGCTGACTGAACTGCAGGGTGATCCCGAAACAGGTGTCAGCTCTGCAGCGTAGAGGGAGTGGGGCCCATGCCCAGGGAAGGTGGAGCTGTGTGCACCCAGCCTTGGCATGGGCTCCCTGACATCTCCTGAGAGGGAAGCGGAGCCCCTGCTGTCTTTCCTGCTGCCCCAGTGTGTGTGCCCTTGCCCATGCTAAGAAGGGCTGCACACGCCCCACGTAGCCAGGAGCGCTGTGCTCCCCAGAACACTGCTTACTGCAGCAAGACTTCCATAAGGGTTTGCTTCCATGTAGAAATTTCTTTACTCTGGATGTTGCAGCTATGTACGTTTAGGGAAACAGACTTCATCTTTGTGCCATGGTTTAGTACCATAAAATAATCGAAGGTCGGGTATTACAGAAAATAACACTCTGTTGGGTTGTAGGGTGGTAGTTGCTTCTAGGTGGAAGACTACTGCCTTACAGGACCTGAGGCCCTGCACACTCTGGTGTCTTTTGATAATCTGTTTTTGTACTTGAAGTTCTGGCATATGCCCCCACTTGGTGAAAGGCCACTTGTCCTGCGAGGCAGGACCCTCTCGAACATCACCCTCGGCTGGCCTCAGCCCATCAGGGCTCCAGCCCTGTGTTTACCTCCTTAGCCGCCCAGCCTTCGGGCTGGGAGCTTTCTGGGGACGTAGGTCAGGTCTTGTTTGTTTGTGACTCAGTGGCTCTAAGCATCTAGCCAGGAAGTGCTCATTGGCCCACTTACTTGCCCATGGACTAGAAAGCCCTCTGAAGAGGGGGTTCTTTTGCACCTCACTGATGGTACAGTGTTTATCCTCCTGCAGAAGTGAGGCATTTTGAAACTTGTCACTGGAGCACA